GAAGAAGCAAGGATGCAAGCCTCAGGGAGGTGGGGGCAGGGTGTTCCCAGAGGATCTGGTGTCTGAGCTGGGAGTAAGGATGCGTTATTCAGTGAAAGCAAGGAGTAGAAGGATGTGGTTCTAGACAAAAAGAGCAGTGTGGGTGAAGGTCCAGGGGGCAAGAATTTATGAACAGCTCCGCATGGCCGAAGCACCGATCTTGAGACTGGGGTTCCCTTCAGGGAGGACAGCGAGCCTTGCAGCCCTGCCTGTCTGCCCCGAGCCTGGCACTTGGCTGCACAGGGCTGGTTGCTGGCACACACTCCGCCCTGTCCCACCGTCCACAAGGGGGGCTAGGGCCCCAGACCGTTGGCCAGGGGTTAAGAGTTGTTTCTTCCTGAATTGCTTAAGGGAAAGAAAACGTAACATGTATTAGTTTTCTGAAGAGAGCCTGACCCTCCTACTCACATTGATCTGGACCCACCCCTTGCAAGAGGACGAGCTGAGGGCTTGGTGGGGTGCTGACCACGGGAACTGGACAGGAGTGCCGTGTTCCAGCTCCTGGCCTGCTCCACCATGTCTCCCAGGCCAGATGCAGAGAGCCCAGCGGGGACTTCAGATCCCAAGAAAGACAGAGCCTGAGTGACAGCAGGAAGAGACCACTCCCCTCCACACATTAGACCAGGACTTGAGAGAAATACAGTTGTATTGCATTAAGCCACTAAAATGTATGGACTGTTCGTTAGAGGGGTTATCTTACCCTTACCCTATCTTTGGAATATGGCACCTTTTTGGCACATTGGAAGTGCCTACATGACCCCAGTCAGTACATGTGTCTCCTTTGATCGGGATATTTATCTCCTGCAGGAAAAAAAAAAAATCCAGAAAATATACTGATGTGGGTGTGTCGTGTTGTTCCTCAGCATGACTGTACTTTGTATGATATTCCCATGGGCAAATCTGACTGTTTATGAATTTGAGATGGGCTTTTTACCAAATAAATAGGAGGGTCTTTTTTTTATGTGTTGATGCGGGGTGTGTACATTTCAATTTACTCTCACTGTTGCCATCAAAGTGTGCCAGACTGGAGCCTCCAAGGACAGATAAGTGTCACCAAGCCTCAAGACATCTTCCCCAGGTGGATTTTGTAACTGAACCAGTTCCAAGGAACAAGGTAAGGTCCACGCTCCCTTTAAGCCTTTCGCCTCTGAGGAGTCCTCTTCAGTTTGGCCCTGGGACAAGAATCCGAGCTAGAGTCAGTCAGTCATGCTCAGCGTGTCCCCAGCCTGTGCACAGCTTTGGCCTCTATCGTTTCTGGACCAGCGTGCAACATGGTTCTGCAAATTCAAAAGCGTGTATCGAGGAGTGAAACGGGGGTGGGTGAGCTACATATCCTTAGAGTAGTGTGCTCCCTTTCATATCTGAGGGAAAGAACTAGGTGAAAGCTGTATTTCCTTAATCCAGAATACGCTACTAGGTAGTGTTGCTACTTATAAAGGGTTACGTGTATTATTGATACATTTATACTGAGAAGGTCAGTCCTGTTAGAAAGCTTGTCTTCCTAAATGCTTTATACAGTTTCTAGGACATTCCTAGCATACTAACATCATATTAATAGTGAAAATAACAGAGCTGATAAAAGTTAAACATTAAGCAATATTTCTTTATAGCACATAATGTTATCCTTTATGAAAGGTAATTGTTTTCTCTCTAATAAGAGTTTAGTTACATTATTAAATGATCAACATAATGGTTGAACAAATGTAACAACTCATTTTATTTTAAAACATCTTTATTGGAGTATAATTGCTTTACCATCTTAAAACGTATAGTTCATTAATATATATCTACTTTAGAAGTCTTTGACATCAGTTAATAGTCATCTCAAATAAAATACATCCCTTTTGTGGGAAGAGAAAACTGACTATAGTTGAAACACTGGAGTTTTACAGTGTTTATGAATTAAAAAAAAAACTTTTTCATCTGACAACATAGGTCTACAGTAAAAGTAAGTTAAACACAGCTCTTCCCTCGTTGGTTAGTTTCCTTCCTATGATCCAATATAGTTTTCTCAAGATACTAAAACAAATCTAGAAAACTAAGCCATTAGTTATTTTGTACCAATAATGCTAGAATATAGTTTGTTGTGTCATTTTCTCATTTATCTTTTTTGGGCACTTCATAGTAGAAAGTTGTTCGCTTTCTAAAGGACGGAATTAAATTACTTAATATGAATATATCACCTCTTCTTGCCTGAAAACAGACGTGAAACTCATAGTGATTATTTCAGTGAATTGCCTTCAGCTTTTTGTAGGAAACTTGCATTATGCTGTTTTTAAACTTTGTTGGTAACAATCATAGAATTATATAGTTTTAGATTTCAGAAACCATCCAGTCCAACCACCATTTTGCACAAAAGATAGTGGAGAGTCTAAGCGATTTGCAGCTACAACTTCACATTCCCACGTGAACCGGTTTACAGTCTGCTCCGCCTTCACCAGCACAAATTAATTCAGCCAATCAGGTGTGCCAGCAATCTGCACAATGCGCATATTTCTGGTGATCGGAGAGCTCCAAAAAGTTCATTCTGACAATACCACAAATGGAAAAGCTCAGTAGAGATTCTAAATCAGTGCACTCTTTTATTAAGTTGAAAAAGTCTGTAAAAATGTCTCAAACTGAGGGCACCTACCGTCATTTCAGCACAGAGCTTTGCAAAAACGGATGAACTAATACATGAACTGTCTGACCCTCACATGCCAGATCTCCTGAATCTAAAGACTGACCAAGTACCAGTTTTGTCGCTGTTGTTTATACATCTAAGTATCTAATAAGCTGGGCTGAAGTGTTGGCATATATATATAACTGGGTGGTAGAAGGAGTCATTCAAAGAATCCATTTGTCTGTCCCGTTAAAAACTGCAAAATAAAGAAAAGATAATAGTGATTACTAACAAGACTTCTTTGCTTGGTGGGGCAGTGGAAGATAGTTCTTACTGGTATTTTTTAGAAAAAAATATCTAGCTTTTGATATGGTAAGATACTATTTAGAAAGAAAGATTATTTGTAAATTTAAAATAATATGTGATTGGGCTAATTTCTTTTCTTTTTTCACTGCAGCAAGATGTTTTTCCAAAAACAGATTCACACCAAAATATTTGACAATAGCAGCGTCACATGCTTCCATTATGCCGGAAAGGAGTCCGGCGCAGACAGTACCCAGGCTGCCTGAGGGATGCTGGTGAGTGCTGGCCGAGAAAGACTTGTCACTAGGCGGTGCTCTCCCAAGAGGAGCTTAAACTTCCATTTACACACAGAAAGGGGAAAGGGAAAAAGGAAACATATCTCAGTTTATCTGCTTAAGAGCAGTTTGATATGAATGTTTACTGTTTCTAGAGTATATCTTGACAGAAACATTCACATTTTAGTCATATTGCTTGGGGGGGAAAAAAACCTCACTGAGAAATCAAACCACCTCCTTTAAGTACATACCCTTAAAAGGTGCGTGTGTGGAAGGAGCTGGACTTGGATACTCACAATTTCGTATCTTTCGTCTCTGTTCTATTTACCCCACCTGACTCTGCCAAGCACTCTTGTCTTCTTGAGGAAACAGACCGAGGGAAGGGAGGGAGAGGGAGAGACGGAGAGGCAGAGGCTCGGCGCGGGCCCTGCCTGGGGCGTCGAGGCCGCCAGTGCCGCGCCCGCAGCATCCTCGCCATCCGTCCCCATCCACCCACTGCGCTGCCTGGCTAATGGCTGAGGCTTTTAATTCTGGTCCCCACGCTCCCTTTCGGGTATTGAACTGAGAACACCTTTCACAGTCAGATCGCCGACTTGGAGGATGTCCAGCTCCTGCCCAGAAAGCGCCAATAAAATGGGAAAGTGCGCAATTGATTGATAATACATTTTACAAGAAAAAAAAATTCAAGGAGATAAATTGTTGAACTCTCACAAATGTGCCTGCCTAAATCCAAAGAACCAAAACTTTCTGAAAGAGTCGGGCCTGGAGGGAGGTGACCCGGGAGCGCTCCCGCGGGCGTTTCCGGGGAAAGGGAGCGAGAGAACCCGGGAGCGGGTGGGCGCTGACGGTCCAGAGCGCTGTCCTCGTGCGTGGGTCCGGGGGCTGGGGGGGGGTGGTGGGGGGGGAGGGGTGCTGCCGGTGTCCTGCCCGGCAGCTGTGCCCCGAGGTGCCCAGCCCTAACCCAGCCCCTGCCCTCAGGGCTGCCCGCCTAGGACCGGCCTCGGGTAAAGCGGACCTCGGCCCCAGAGTGGTCCCCAGCCTCGCCGGCAGATTCCCCCCAAAACGCACAGACTCCAGTTGACTTATTAAATGCCGAGGCAGTCAGGCAGCTCCTTTTTTAATAGCCCAAGATCTACATTTAGACAAAAACAGATCCGAGTTCCTGGTAAAGGCGTTTCTTCTCATCCTGTCACAAGTGACAGGAACGGAGGGAAATAGACTGAAGGAGAGAAGCGGGGGGTGAAGGGGAGGGACAAAGGGGAGGAGGAGAGAGATGGGATGAAGGGGGAAGAGGCAGGAGAGGGGAAATGGGGGGGGGGGGAAGGGGGAGGGGAGGGGGGAGAGGGGAGGGAGACCGACAGGGCGGGTAGAGATGGAGCAGAGAGGAAATGGGGGAGGTGGGGGGGATGCGGGAGGGGGGAAGTGGGGGAGCTGGGGGAGGAGACGGGGGAGGCGCGGAGGGGGGGCTGGAGGGGGGGGGGAGGGGGGAGGCGGGCGGGAGAGGGAGGGGTGGGAGGAGTTGTTGGCGGGGGGTGGGGGGGTGGGGGGGGTGTCTGACGAAGATCCGCGCGGGGATACGAACACTTCAGCGGCTTCTAATTAAAGCCCCGCGCTGGGCCCTCGGGGACCCTCCTGACGTCGGCGGCCGCGGGGATAAGAGGCGCCCCGAGGTCCGAGGCCGGACTCTGCCGGCGCGCACCCCAGGCAAGCGCGGGTTCCCAGCTCGGAGCTGCCGAGGCACCGCGTCCCCTTCTCCGCGCGTCCAGTGCGCTCCGCCGGCCCGGGCGCCGCCGGGCATGGAGTAGCGAGCGGGGCGCGCGGCTCTGGGGCGCGCGGACAGACGCCGGGACAGACGCCAGAGGACGCCCGCGGCTCCGGGGCGCGGGGACAGGTAACCCGGCCGGGCTCCTGCGCGCAGGTGGCCCCGCGGGCGGCGCCGGGCAGGTGTGGGCCGGGCCCCGTCACCGGGGGCCAAGGGTTTTCCAGAACCTGGCCCAGCGGGCGGCCGGGGCGAGGGTCCCGGCGCGGGAGCTCCTCGGAGGGGGGGGGGAAATCGGGGACAGCGGGAGGAGGGGGCGACCGCCACACAAAGGCGCTGCTGGAAACTTGAGCGCGGCCGCTCCCCGAGGGAGATGGGTGTGGGCCCGACCCTCTGAGCGGCCGCCGCCGCCCCGCTCGGCGTCTAAAGGGGACGGAAAGTTGTGGCGACGCGTTGAGCCGCGGGGCGCCGGCGATGCGCCATTTCCAGGAAAGTTCGGAGGCCGGCGGCGGGGGCGGGACGCGGGCGCAAGGCGGCCAGGGCCCGTGTCGCCCGCGCGCGGAGGGCGGGCGCACCCAAGGCTTGCTCTCAGCATCAGCGCGTGGGACCTCGGGGAGGGCGAGTCCTCGTGGACACCGCGGCCCAGCCTCCCGCCGCCGGGCCCCCGCCCGCCCTCCAGGCCCGGGACGGCGCGGGGCGTCCATCCACTGGGTTGGCGGGCGTCCTCTGGGTCCGCAGGGCCGGGGCGCGCGGACCGAGGGGAGTGGCCTCTCCCGCCCTTCCCGCTCCCCCCGCCGACTGGCTGTCCGGGTCTCCCCGCACCCCTGTCCCTGCAGCGAGCCGAGCTCCGGGAGCGCGTCGGATCCGCCCAGCCTGGCCGAGCGCAGGATGCGCGGACCCGGGCGTCCCCTCCTCCTGGGGCTGCTGCTCGTGCTGGGGGCGGCGGGGCCCGGCCGGGGGGTCGCGGAGACCCGGGAGGCCGCGGACAGGCAGACGCTGCTGCAGCTTATCGTGGAGATCGTCCAGGAGCTAAGGAAGTACCACTCGGGGGAGTCCAAGCGGCTGCAGCTCTCGGGCCGGCAGGACTACACCCTGGGCCGCAGGGAGGTCTCGGACTACGGGGCTTACCCGGAGGAGCAGAGAGTGGGTGAGTGTCCCCGCCCGCGTGGCTGTGTAGACGGAGTGGACCGCTTCCCAAGGCCTCTCGGGTGTGTGCGGTGTTGACGGCGGGTCCGCCTGTCCTGTCTCAGGAGACGCTAGAAGAACTAGTACTTGCTTGGAAATAGAATTGTCTTTGAGAACACATACGTATTTTTAAAAGATAAATACATTTTGACTGTTAAAAAAAACTGGGAAATATGTTTTTTAGAGAAGGAAATAGGAATTCCATGAATGATGCCTGGCAGATAACATAACTATCCCTCATCCACTTCTAAGACATGTGAGTTGTTGCCTAGTTCAGTAATTTCAGCATAGAACTGTCATCTGTTATTTTGGATATGGAAATATTTTCAGCAAAGCGGTTTCAACTGAGACAGAAATTCCCATTCCCCGCCCCCCCTCCCCATGGCAGAGCCTTCGCAGAGTGGCTGCCCCTTGGGAAATTACCAAGGAAAGCATGAAAGCTTTTAATGCTTTCATGACACAATTAGGTCAAATATGATAAGGTCAATTTTATATAGACTGACTAAAGTTAGTTGTAAATGAAGACTGACATTTAGGAGATGTCTAAACCTTGCAAGTAAGATTCTTACGGAAATGTTCCCTCTTCAGATGAGGAGAACTGGTGGTAGTGTGACCGCGTGCCATCGCATTACTAGTGCAGAACAGGTGAGTGAAAATGAATCCAGATGGCTATAAAAAGAAGCAGAAACAAGGCTGAAATCAGAAGGAATGTCAGTCAGGTTATCACCAACACCAAGTAGGCGCTGTGCCGGTACAGCCAGTCTTTCCCTGGGAATTGTACCTTTATGTCATCCAACCAGGTTAATGTCTGTTTCCATGCATTCACACCAGCCTTCATAACAAGTGGTTTTGACAGCAACTAACCCTTTTTCTAAATATATACCTAGAAGAATATATACCTATAGCAAATTTTTTGTTTGAAGTATGAGATCAGGTTTTCTTCCTAGAACTTTGAGAGGTTGTTGAATTTGATTCCCAAGCTCTTCAAGATGAAACTGTCTACGAGTGATTTATTCACTGGAAGATAACTGTCACACACACACCACACACACCCCCCTTTCTTTTCCTATAACTTTACAGTCCCTGCCTCTATCCTAGTGGTGGAGACTGGGCATTAATACCGGAGCTTTGGAGAGCAGTTAATATGATTTGAGGAAAATGTGCCCTATCACCCGTCTTCACATTGTCACGTACTGCAATCACGGGGCTGCTGTGTTCAGGGCAGAATTTCCAGTAACTTTAAACATTCACTTCGGATCACATGAAAACATGCTCCTTTCAGGCAATTTAATAATTAACTTACTTTCCCTCAAACAGAAATTGTTCCTCGAGATCTAAGGATGAAAGACAAGTTTCTGAAACATCTTACAGGTAGGCTTTCCACGCATTACTTCGCTGCTCCCCAGCTCCTGGCATCCCGCAGCCCTCACAATCTGTTTCTTCTTCCACGTTCCAGGTCCTCTTTATTTCAGCCCAAAGTGCAGCAAACACTTCCACAGACTTTACCACAACACCCGAGACTGCACCATCCCCACCTGTAAGTGACCGCATCCAACTCGCTTTAGAAATGCCGGTACAGTGTAGACGAGGCTTCAGGCCCCTCCACCTAGGTGAACAGGCCCCTCCCTTCTGTAACCCAGGTGTGCTAATACTGCTCCCTGCTGACCATACAGGCCGGGGCTGCGGTGAGGAGCCACTTAAGATAACTGCAGGCAGCGGCAACTACTGCCAGACTGAGCGTGGTTCACAGTCACTGGAATGAACCGGCTCTTGGAAGGGGCTGGACTCCTCCATGCACGCTCTCGCATTCTGGTCTGATGCCTGTCCTTGTATCCACTCAACTCTGACAGTGGGACAAATGTTTCAAAGGAGTTGCTAAAATGACTACTGCAGGGTGTAAGGTAACGATGGTTGGCCCTGGGCCACCCCCACTGCCCTGGCCAGAGACTTTGTGTTTCCACCAGTAATTGTAACCCCATCACCCAGGAATTTTACTGCTATTTCAAACTCCTGCTCTTCTACTTGGCTTCCTCACTAATTCAGAAACGCAGGTGCCCTTTTCTGTCTGGCTCTCAGCTGTAACTTCCTGGTTCATCCACAACAAGTGCACTCATTCCCCCAAAAGTGCTTTCTTGTGCTCTTCACAAAACATACAATGAAGACAAGTAACTTATTAGCTAGAGGGACATCTGCTAGAGCCCTACACCAACTTTTTTTTGTGTGTAGGGACCACAACTTTCCTTCCATTTAAGGCTCACAGGAGGGCAGTTGTACAAATAAGCCAGGTCTCCTAGGAGCTGCTTTCAGGACTGTCCGAAGGGGCAGCAGACCAGACCTGCCCGTCCTGCTCAAAACAATAAGCCCCTTTCCATGAAGGGGAAGCTGCTCTGTGCAGGCAGCAGCATCCCTTTACGGAGCTCCTTGTCTCGCACGTCCCCAAACATGGCAGGCAGACAGGGAGCGCCTTCAGGAGGGAGCTGACGTGGTCCTGCTCAAGGCTACCACGGGGACAGTGGCACGAGTCAACGGGTGGCACCCGTGTCCCAGAAGCTCCATGCTCCAGGCTCACCCTCTCATCCAGGCCACGTGGACCTGGGACACCTCACCTCCCTCTTTCCTTCCTCTGAAATGGAATCACCTTCTGTTTGAGAATTACTAACCTGCTTCTAGGGGTCAGAGAACCTTCTCATTTTGTTTCAATGTGTATATATTTTTATATTAAATCTTGTTTTACAATAATAGGATCATAGATTCTAAATTTGAAAGTGACCCTTAGGGTCATTGCTTGAATCCTTTCATTCACGGACAAGGAGACAGACAAGGCACTTAGGCTGCGTGTGCCCCATCGCAGGCGCCACCCACATTGCTGCCTCCTTTGCTGAGTGGGCCGCCACCAAGCTCCCAGTCACCCATAAGGTGAGGCAGTGGGACCAGGACCGGTCAGAAATGCCCCTGGGCCTGGAAGTAGATCTGTGCCCTGGACAAGTGGCTGCTTGTGTGGGTCCCACCTCTCTCAGCCCATAAAGAGCTGCAGAGCCAACCTGACCACTTCTGTGCTGCTCAAGCCTGCATACGACAGTTCCCAGAATCCTGGCCGGTTAGACAGAAGGAACCACAGACCTTCTCACTCAAGGTGTGGTCCTGGGGTGAGCTCTCGGGAAGAGCAGGACTTGTGAGTCCACCACACCTGCTGAGAAAAGTCTGCACCTTAAGGGACCCCAGGCGGACATCAGGGTGGAGAACATGTGGCCCAGCGGGGTCGTGGTCGCCCTCAGGATCTCAGGGTGTGTGGCAAATGCCAGTATCTCCTTTGAGCTCCTACAGTCTGCCGCTTCCACGTGTGGTCTCTTCAGGAAAAGCACATCCTAAAAAACATGGCACATCTGAAGAAGGGCAGAAAAGCCAGGAATCCTGACGACCCTGCCTCCAGCTGTCACATAATTGTTTCATTTGAGCCCAAACTGTTATGTCCTCTAGATATTTAGCGGGTGTGTTTTTAGAAGGCTTAGGTGCTTGCCTAACAGACACGCTGTGCGTATTTATTGCTGTCAATTTACGCATTCACTCAGAATTTCAGCTAAGAGCATGAATTCTTCCATCTTTAAGTAGAATTTTGTGACTCTTGAGAAGTGAACTTCATATTGAGGAATCCCTTTATGGGCGTGATTGCTGTGTCCTCTGAGGCAGCACCTATGAGACTAATGAAACAGGAAACCATACGAGATACCTAGGAAAACCAGTCTGCGCTCAGAAATCAGCTCTTGCTTCCCTCCATTGTCCAGCCAGGTTTTTTGCTCTGGTACTTGGCTGTTGACCCACTGTCTTTAGAATTTCTGTGCGGAAGGCTTTGTGTTATGATTAACTCAAGAGGGGACTCGGCCCGCACGTGACCTAAAAGTTAAGTCCGGGCACGGGAAGACCGACTGTACTCTAGGAAGCAAAACGAAAGCTGTTTTAATGAGCCCAGCAGCTACTGCGAGAAGAAAACAGGCAGAGAGCAGCCGCGTGGGAGACTCTGCATCCCCACTTCCCACAGCCTCCCAGTTACATCATTTAACTTCTGTCACGTGATGCTAAAGGCCCCAAGGCACCATAAATTATTAAATCAACAACTTCGAGCCATGATTGCGGGTGACAGTGTATGTATTGTTTCCAAGGAATTCAGAATATTTAAAGGAATGAATGGCTTTAGCAGTTGCTATGCTTGTTTAAAGTGAATGCAATTCATTTAAGTTGTTGAGGTAGCTGACGAGGGTCTGTGATTTATTTCCCTTGTAGACTATAAGAGATGCGCCCGGCTTCTTACTCGGCTGGCTGTCAGTCCGATGTGCATGGAGGGATAAGGTAAGCTGACAGCCCAGTCGCTGTGGCCCACACACCAAAGACTGGATGCATTTGGGACATGAAAAATTCATGGGAGTTTAGAGACAGTCATTCTTTGGGTAAAGTAGCCTTACTCTGAGTAAGGTTGACAGAACACTCAAAATAGCTCTAGGTACTGGTCAGTAGTAAACACACAGCACCCCAGGCAGCCACTGAGACCTGGTCGCAGGAGGACACGCTGGCCGAGCTCACATTAACCTGCACACAGCCCACTGGCTACTGACTTCAGTGCGTGACATGGTGTGTATCTGCCCACCCACTTCTAGGCTTTCATTCAAACACTCATAGATGAGTATATGACTAACCATATCCATGCGAATTTTAGCGACATATCTGGCAAGTGTTTGCATTGAATTCTGTCATTATACCAATACACTTAAAAAGAACAGCTAAGAATAGGTATCCTCTTCAAATGTTTCTATCGAAGTTATTTTTTAAAAGCCTCTGATGGTAAAAATATAAATACACATTGAGTTTATGAGCTAAACTTTTTACATTGGCCTCTTGAGGGCTGACATGTAACACATAACGCTGTCAGCAAGAGTCAAGGGACGGGCTGAAAGGTTTTATTTTCCTGACACAAATGCCATCGATTTCAGCCACAAACTGTAACTTCACAACTGGACACTAGCTGTGTGTCTTGTATGCTAGGCACAGCCAGATGCGGGGTCTACCTTGCAGTCAGATGGCTGTCCCTTCGCCTCCTGTAAGTGGAGGAGGGGTGCTCACCGTGGCGAAGGCTGCGCTGAACAACGTCTGCACAGATGCTTGGGGTCAGCCGGGCAGTGGGTGCTGCCCTGAGCTGCGTCCTTAGCACTGCTTCTTCCCATCAGGAGTCCCACTAGCAAATGGGGGTTCAGTGAAACAAGTGGTTAGTGGAGGGTATCATCCCACATTTTCCCCAAGCTCACTGAAACTTGTATAACACTTTCTGTGTGGGGGAAGTGAAAGCACAGTTTTTAATGCCAAAGCTGAGAAATTCCTCCACCTTCACTTCTCATCTGAATGCTGTCCAGTTTCTCTTCCACTGCCCACATGGCAAACAGAAAACTTCTTATTTTTAAAGCAATGAATGGATTCTTGTAAGTCTACCAAAGTACCTGCCCGGGGAGATGAGAATGTTGTTTTCATTAAGCATTTCTTTATAGTTAAAGCATCACTATTTCCAAAGATGAACCAGGCACATCCCTGGAAAACAACCGCCATCTACTCACAAGTGGGGAGACCAGATGCCCAGCGTCCACATCCACCGAAGAACCGCTCAGGCCACAGGCTTCCTGTCTCTGTGCCTGCGAGCTAACCCCCTGCTTCCCCACAGCGGTTCCCCAAAGACTGCTATCCTGCAGAGACAGCTCCCCGGAGCGAAAAGTCGAGAGTAATGGTACCCAGGAGCCTACGCTTCCGTGGAACTGCTCCCGAGCGTGGACCTACCTCTGCACCGTCTCAGGACGGGCACACCAGGGCTTTCCCAACACAACACGGAGACCCACATCGCACTGGTCACCACCGTCGGTAACCGTGTTCACTTTGGTCAAGAAGTGGGTAGTTTAAAATACAGATACTTCTGCTAAAATAATTTTATAACATTTAAAAAGATTAACTTCTTCCAACTCCAGAAGTTCTAAACCGCAGTAGCGAAGTCTTAACTGGCTGGTGACGACGCAGACAGTCAAGGGTTTCTGTGTACCCTGACGTCCCGGAGGGCAGAGCGCACATCCTGCGTTAGCAGCAGGTTTTCCTTAAGTGGCGTAAGCTGTGTCCACATACGTTTCTTCCGCCGTCCTAACACATGAAGATGTCACAACAAAGCTGCAGGGTAAGACTCCTCTTCCTACTCCAGACCAGAGCCTCAACTTCTTAAAGGCTAAGTCTGAAAGAAGTGGGTCTTTAGAGGGGTCCGAGCACAGGGACCCTCCACACTTGAGGTCTCAGTGCAGAGCCCGAGCCCGAGCCCTTTGCTCCTTCTTGCTGAAACTCATGACCTGATCTCCTCGAGCCAAAGAGAAGCTGTAGCTTCGCAGCCATCCTCCCACACAGCAGGAGAGCCTCCCAGACACACCCCTTCACTACCTGGACTTGCCGCTCGAGTAAGTTACAAGCCTGAGCCCTGGAATATTTTCAGAGAAACGGAGTTTTGAGTAACAAGTATCCAGCTCGCTCTACAAAATGCAGCCTATTCTGAGCAACCCAGGATCGCCCCACATCAGCGTGGACTGAACTACCGAGGACTTGGCGGCGGACGCATCAACACTGAGCACTGTTCTTCAAACCCTAACAAGCATTCTCTCTTCGTTTGTGATGATTTCCATCCCTTTAGCGCAGCAGGCCCGTGAGCACTGAGTTACTTTCCAGAATAAAATATACACACATTTTGGCACACAGGGAAACATGCAGACTGCAATTCCTCACATCTATGCACACATTATGTTACACGTAATTGAATGTATAGTTCTTCCAGAATCAATAAGCAACTGTGAATCATTCTCTGAACCCAAACGTGTTTGTTTCGCAGCGAGCAGAGCGCCGCGGACGAGCAGCGGCCCGGGACCGTGAGAAGTGCCTTGGAGACCAGCAGGGCAGAGCCCACTGCCTTCTGGACACGCCCCATGAACAGAGATTTATTTTTGCAGACAGCCTCTCCCATAATTCCTTTACCTTGAGTTTTGTATGTTGACACCGTCTGTGGGCACAGAGTCAGTAAATGGGTGTGCCGACAGTAATGCTTGCCACCGGTCATTTTAGACAACAGGAGAATGCTCCACGTTTGATGTGTCATGCTGTGAAACGGCAGAGAGATTTCTCCTTTTCCTGATTAGGTGACGTCACAAATATTTCTTGAGAAGCATAAGCAGAATCTAGAACTATATTTTCATATAGCATATGGTATTATTTAATATTTTATTACTTTTACAATTAAATGCCCAGAGTATCATTTGGAATTGCATGAAAAATTTAAAAAATATAAATAAATAAAAAGAGACAGAAAAGAACTTCAGTTGTGGAGACATTGGAGTGTAAATCTGTGTACATGCTCAGGCTAATTTCATTTGTCCTTTGTATAATAAATGTAAAATAGTATCTAGATACTGTGCAATATGTAGATACTGTAAATAAAACGCAAGTAATAAATGAAGTGTTTGTTATAATGAAGTCTTCAAAGTGACTCTTTACTCCTGAACAAGTTCATCATTGGGAATTCATGATTTACAAATCTTTTGAAAAGACTGAAATACTGGCAGGATATCACAGAATATAAAAGGCATAAATAAATAAAACGAGAAAGCTATGAATTCTTGTAAGGGACATTAGCATTTTTTAAAAAGAGTGGCACTATATATTGGCGACATATTTCTTAACGTACGTGATTTGGTAGCGAATATTTCAAATAAGGTTGCATCCGTATTTCCTGTATGACTTTGTAATGGAAACACTAAACTCCGTATTTCCTGTGTGACCTTGTAATGGAAACGCTAAACTAAGAGGGACCTTAAGACTTCCAAAAAGCTCCAGATTTTTACAGGTAGATATATTTTGAACAAATCTGACTGGATCTAATTTTTCAGACAAGTGAATTCAGCAACGAGGTTTTCTGTTCACATGAGCCCTAGTCTGGATACAGCCTAAGGACAAAGTCAATTAGGAACCCTAGGATTTGTCTGAGGGTCTGTGTTTAAGACATGTGTGTAAGTGTTAAAGAAAACAAACTAGAGAGATTTATTCATCAACATAAAGGAACAGAAAAGAGTAAGAAATTTCCTTACTTTGAGAGTATTAAGCAATTACTGAACGATTAGGGCACTAGGGTGTAATTTTTGAAGTGCTTTACTTTCCTGTTTCCTAGTTGCAGGTAGACTTTTGCCCTCAATTCTTTACTTTTTAAAGCTACCATTATCAAATTCTCAATCCTCCCACGTTTCAGGATAAGCCCTCATGGAGCGACCCCGCAGGCCACCACACACACTCCTGGCCAGCCTTCTTGCCGCCACCTCCCCCGGTGTCCCTGAGTCTGCCGCCCCCGGTGGCCTGGTGGGAAAGACACCTTGCTCATCCCTCAGGCCCGAGTAAGCTCAGGACTGAAGGTCCCCCATCTGGGGCTCCTGTGATACTGAGGACCAGAAGCCGTTCTCTGAACTCTCCCTGCTTCTGAGCGACCGTCACTCAGACCGATCTGTGACCCAGAGTCCTCCCGGGACTTCGGGTCATCAACGATGAACTGGGGTGAAGACCGAGAGGAGAAAAGCTGTCCCTCATCTAGCCATCCACAGGGGTCTGCCTTGGGGTGCTGGCCCCAAGGAGAACCCACACTCCACTGAGGATGGGGCGCAGGCAAGGCCGCTGTGGCTGCAGGGCTGCCAGCTTCTCCCATGAACATATTACTTGAGTGGAAGCAACGTGCTTACTTAGGCACTTACGCCGCTTAGGGTGCTGCCCAGCACGGGGCAGACAGGCACACATCACACATCATCCAAAAGGGACAGTGGAGGCAATGCTTTCTGATTCTTCTCCACCTGTCAGTAGAAAAACAGGCAAACACCAGACTTGTACTTAGCTGTAGTTTTGTAATTTCCCCAGTTTATTTGAAAACAATCTTTTCTGACATATATTCATATGAATTTTAGATCAGTTATCTCCAAGTGCACAGAAATTACCTATATTTGCCTATAAACTAAGCACTGATAAAAGAATACTTAACATATCAATATTTAAGCATTCCAACATAAAAGGACTTTTTCCCCACTTATTATTTTTTTCCCACCTAAGCTGATCTATATTTGACATTCAGGTTAATCACACGCATGTAAAAGCAGACGTGGTCCCCACACTGACCCTAAGGTAAACCAGCACACAAGTGTCCTTCTTCCCGGACATAATTACATTTCCAGAGGCAAAGTGGTTCAAACGGGAACACATAAGGTGACTTCCTTATGAAATCAACTAGACAGACAAACTAAGGAGTGAAGGTGCTGAAGATGAGTCACGCAAATCTTCCTCCTTCCT